CCAGCTGTTGTGCCTTTCCTTGAAACGGATCCAATTTCATAAGATTTACAGATCTTGGCAGCGAGTGGAGGAAGGTGTTGACAGCGTATTGTTCTCATAAATGATAACTCTGCTCCGTGTCCTCGTTTTCTGCGGTTGGCAGAGATTAGCCGCACTTCCGATGCCAGCCTCCCAGCGGGTAAATCTCTCAGCTAGCAGCAGCAAGGATGTTTTTCACGTTAAGTACAATTGGCACATCTACTAAGAGCCGCATTGGGAGGAATTCAGAGCTCCAGCACGGTATGGAGCGCCAAAGGATGCAAGATGGTCACAGCAACCGCCTATCCATTCAGGTCTCTTAAACAGGAACACACCAACAATGATACGTATGTGTAGTAATGACATCAAAGGGGGTCAGGGAGTCCTGCCCCACAATGCACTGGGCCGTGCGCTATTCAGTACACCAAGAAAAACCTATGGATCCTGCCCACCCGTGGACAAGAAGATATTCGGGGTGATTAGCTCAGTAGTTGAGGCGTTTGTAGAGAGTCCATGCCAGTCCAAATTGTGGTTCACCGCTTGCTGGCCCTTTTTTATTAAACAAAAGTGAAAGTTCAAACAAAACTGTTGTCCAGGCAGGAGATGTTCCTCAAAAACGGGTAACGATAATTGCTGAGCCACCTCGCTCCATCTTCAGCAGTACTGCTGCCTTGGCCCCAACATTGGCTATTCACAGGTCCCTAACACCGTCCCACCCAGCTCCCTGGGATCTCCTTGCTCCCTCAGCCTTTTAGTTGCAGCACCCTGCTGTCTGAACCCACACCCTGGCCTCTCAGTAGGGGATCTCCTGGCACTCAGGACTCTCTCACTCCTTTGAGTCCTCCAGGTTCCCTCAGTCCCCTGGACTCAACTAGTCATGTTGGCTCTCCCGGTCTCCCAGACTCGCTTAGCCGCCTCGACTCTCCCAGCTCTATGGACATGGAATCTCTCCTCAAGCATGGAGTGCTGTCTCTTGAAGCACCTCTGTCTCCTGCCGGGAGCCCATGCCTGCCTCCTGCCGGGAGCCCATGCCTGCCTCCTGCCGGGAGCCCATGCCTGCCTCCTGCCGGGAGCCCATGCCTGCCTCCTGACGGGAGCCCATGCCTGTCTCCTAAAGGGAACCCATGCCTGCCTCCTGACGGGAGCCCATGCCTGTCCCCTGACGGGAGCCCATGCCTGTCCCCTGACGGGAGCCCATGCCTGTCCCCTGACGAGAGCCCATGCCTGCCTCCGGGCGGGAGCCCATGCCTGCCTCCTGGCGGGAGCCCATGCCTGCCTCCTGGCGGGAGCCCATGCCTGCCTCCTGACGGGAGCCCATGCCTGCCTCCTGACGGGAGCCCATGCCTGCCTCCTGACGGGAGCCCATGCCTGCCTCCTGACGGGAGCCCATGCCTGCCCCCTGACGCGAGTATGTCTGTCTTTTGGATGGAACACACACCTGCATTCTGAAGAATTCCCACATTTGTCTCCATTATAAGGGCTGTGTGCGCCTGTACTCACAGTCTGCTGGTCTCCTGCAAGACCTGGACATTGGGTTGCAGATTTCTTCCCTCCAAAAGCTCTTTTGAAATCTCCAAACTCCAGAACCCAATCCAGGAATACCAAAACCCAGACAAAGTTGAAAAACCACCTTTCTCCATTCAGAATCAATATTTCGAAGCCCTGCCCTCTGCATATGTGTGAACCCTGTGTCATAGCTACCCCCCCTTTTTCACATTGGCAGGGCCCTGCACTGTCACAGTGGGGTGCCAGACCTCTGAGATGCAGCAAGGCCCCCCCATGTGAACTGATAAAGAGGACCTGTACTGTGGAATCTGTGCCCAAAAAAGACAGGCATAGGGCAAAGGATGAGCCACTAGTATTGTCTGTAGGCTCAGTGCGGCTGATTTGTTTCATATTATTGAGGTGCCAGGGGGTGGGGTGGGGACTTTGCTAACTCAGCTCAGAGCTCTGCGGCTGCAGCCACTGTGGATGGGGGAAGAACACAGAGATTGCAGCCAAAAGAAGCCAGGTAAGAGGAGCCGTGGGGTGGCTGTATACAGAAGAATCCATCTTGTCATGTTCCTCCTGCAGCCGCTGAATGCCTCCTCCTTCTCTCCCTCCTACAGGCATTCAGTGACTGCAGGAGGAACATGGAGAGATCTGTTCTTCTAAATGCAATCGCCCCCGCTGCTCCTCCTATCCAGGTGTACAGGGGTCCACATGGGCCCCCTACAGGGTGGGGCTGGGTCGCAATTGCGACCCCTGTGACCCCTGTAGCTACACCCCTGAAGACGACAGCTTGGTTCTACTCTTCCAACACAGGGAAATACGGTACACACCTGGGTCTGTACATAACCCCACACTGGTGTAACTGCCCACTACGTACAGAGCATGCCAGTGTCAACTTTGTAACAAGTGGCAAGATGAGATGCTGCAGCAGGGGCTGATCTGTGTCAAACATTCGTGAACACAGCCAAGAACATGACAGGCATCAGGATTTACATAACTGTGTCCCCTCTGAGCCGGTACCTCAGTCCAGGAAGTAGATGGTGACCCTGGATGATGCCCGAACAAAGATATTGCTGTCCTTCTGGAGAGAAAAGCAGATGAAGGCGTTGTCAGGAGGAGTCCTATGATCTTTGGGAGAGGTAATAAATACCTGGAAGTGATACTTAAAGTGGACCTTCCCCCTAAACCTACTCTGTTTTTGCCCTGCCTCCTCCCCCGCACCCTGGGGCCCCAAATGCCACCCCACCTCAAGATTATGCATGTGAGCAAATGTGCTATGGGGCATTGGGTTCTTACAGCTCTGCAGCACATCTGTACATGCGCAAGGTTCCCCATGCATACGCAAAGACAGGTGGCGTGGAAATCCCAAAGCTTCCCCGTCTTTGCGCACGCACGGCAAACATCCTGTTTATGCCATAAAGGCTCTGCCAGGACCCATTAGTCGTGCAGAGCCCTTCGGAATATCTGCGCAAGCTCCATAATGGAGGCAAAAAGGGGGGGGGGAGGGGGGGTAGCCATAAAAAATGTTGCTAAAGCTTCTTTTTAACATAAAAAAAAATATATCTAATGCTAGGGCCACTTGAAGGGCCAATTTACATTTGTGCATCACATTAAGGCCGCCCATTGAAATCCATGCACCAACATGTCCCAAACGTTGGACGTACCACCAAATTTATAAAGCAACATATTTTGATGCATTGCCATCTGCCGCAGCACGCTGCGACACATGCGCTTGCTCACGTGCATTGAGGTGAGATTCAAAATGAATGCCACCACAATGCAGCAACACCTATAAAGTGCCTGCTACGCACAGCTGTAATTGCGTTCACACCTGCGTGTTTCCTAAACGCACAAAAATGCGTCTCGGAAATGCGCTGCGCACGCACGCCATGCTTGTGGTGCCATCAGTTGTTAAAGACACCCTAAACGCGGTTAGCAAATGCACACTGTGCCACGCATTTCGGAAATGTGCTGCACACGTGCAATGCCCTTGCGGCGTCCAGTACCGGGACAAGGTCATCCAGCGCCCAGGGTAAGGATGCTAAACTGCCCCCCCAAAGGTCATGATCTGTAAGCTACACCCAGCAGTCACTTGCTTGTCAAAATTATTGCCGCTCTCACTACTCCTTTCAGCCATCTAACAAAAGGCACCCGCATCCCTACTGCAAACCATTACACCCGGGGCAGCCGCCCCCTGCGCCCACCCCATTTCCTGGCCCTGGTGGTGCCGCCATTAATTGTCAAAGGAATCCTAAATGCAGTAGACAAACATGCTTCACGCGCACCAAAAAGGTTCTGGAGGTACGCAGGGCAACGCAGGTTAACGTGTGAAATGCGCAAAATAAAAAACCTGAGCAGGATCACGCGTTCCAGCTACGCTCAGGTGTGAATGGGGCCTAAGCGGTGTCACACAACCGATTTTTAGCAATAAAAGTTACTAATGAATTAGAAGAAAACACATAAAATGTAACAATTTATGACGTCACAACATTTTTGTGACAATTGGATCCGGATATAGACTCGCTCTGCCATGAGACGGGAATTGTAGCACACATTTCGGAAACGTGCTGCCCACGTGCAATGCCCTTGCGGTACACAGTGCTGGGACAAGGTCATCCAGCACCCAGGGTAAGGATGCTGAACTGTGCCCCCCATAGGTCATGATCTGTAAGCTACACCTAGCAGTCACTTGCTTGTCAAAATTATTGCCGCTCTCACTACTCCTTTCAGCCATCTAACAAAAGGCACCCCCATCCCTACTGTAAACCATTACACCCGGGGCAGCCGCCCCCTGTGCCCACCCCTTTTCCTGGCCCTGGTGGTGCCGCCATTAATTGTCAAAGGAATCCTAAATGCAGTAGACAAACATGCTTCACGCGCACCAAAAAGGTTCTGGAGGTACTTCGGGGCATTTGTAGAACGCAGGGCAACGCAGGTTAACGCGTGAAATGCGCAAAATAAAAAACCTGAGCAGGATCACGCGTTCCAGCTACGCTCAGGCGTGAGAGGGGCCTAAGTGGTGTCACACAACCGATTTTTAGCAATAAAAGTTACTAATGAATTAAAAGAAAACACATAAAATGTAACAATTTATGACGTCACAACATTTTTTGTGACAATTGGATCCGGATATAGACTCGCTCTGCCATGAGACGGGAATTGTAGCACACATTTCGGAAACGTGCTGCACACGTGCAATGCCCTTGCGGTACACAGTGCTGGGACAAGGTCATCCAGTGCCCATGGCAAGGATGCCGAACTGCACCCTCCACGGTCTGCATGCTTAGGGGATCAGGGGCGGACTGACCATTTGGAAACTCGGGCACTGCCTGAGGGCCCAGGGTCAGTAGGGGGTCCCATGAGATGCCCCTGGTACCTTTTTAAAGGCTTTTTTGAGTTTGGGCAAGGACACAGGGGCCCCATGATCCCCTATTGCCCGGGGGCCCCATAAGTTGTCAGTCCGCCCCTGTAGGGGATCCTACACCCAGCAGTCACTCGCTTGTCAAAATCACTGCCGCTGTCACTACTCCTTTCAGCCATCTAACAAAAAGCGCCCCCATCCCTACTGTAAGCCATTGCGCCCGGGGCGGCCGTTCCCTGCGCCCACCCCTTTTCCTGGCCCTAATGGTGCAAACATGCTTCACGCCCACCTAAAAGGTTCTGGAGCTACTTTGGGGGCTTTTGTTGCACGCAGGGCAATGCAGGTTAACGCGTGAAACCGTGCAAAATTACAAACCCGAGCAGGATCACGTGTTCCAGCGACGCTCAGGCGTGAATTGGGCCTAAGTGGTGTCACACGACCGATTTTTAGCAATAAAAGTTACTAATGAATTAGAAGAAAACACATAAAATGTAACAGTTTATGACGTAACGATATTTTGTGACAATTGGATCCAGATATAGACTCTGCCATCAGACGGGAATCGTAGCAGTGCCCCCCCACCCCCACTGCACTTTAGCTACGTGCTGGGAAAAAAAAAAAGTTACAAAAGGTAAAGTGAGTAATGTAAAACCCTCTGAACCTGTCTAATCCTGTTTCCCGATTCAGTTGTGTCTGGGAACAAACACCAATCATCATCCAGGAGGAGGGGGGGGGGGGATAATGAACTTGTCCGCATCGCAATGTTCCTCCTAAGAAACGTGTCAACACAAAGCGAGGTGACGAGGTCACTGACACCTTCCCGATTACAGATCCTTCAATTAAACGCCCCGTGCAGGTAACATTACCTCCTCGTTCCTCAGCTTACCTCGCCGGCGTCGTGTGATCACTGGCGGGTGTAAGGTGACGGAGGCCTCGCCTAAAAAGACACATTTCAGGTTCAATTTACGCTAAGTATAGGAAGTGCAATCAAGAGGTAAAGCTGGCCATACACTGTACAATCTGATTGTACAATCTCCTGAGCCAGGTAAAATGAGAACGAACCAGAGCAATCCTTTCAAGTAGAACTGTTTGCTTCACTTTGGGTAGAGTTTAGGTACCTATGCATGTGGTGGCTGAGAAGGGGGGTGGTGGAGGTGGTGGTGGGGGGGTCGTCTTTTAAATTTATTTGTTTTGAATATTTTTTTTAAACAATATTTTTAACTTATTATTGCTGTCACAAGGGTACTGACATGTGATAGCATATAGAGAGTGAGAGGCATTTGGGGTCTCTCCCCCCCTCAACCAGATGGACTACAGACAGTACTGGGTTGGTTGCGTTCCCGGCCGCACCATCAGGACCTGACGTCTCTGAACTTGGAAGTGCTCATAGCTGAACGCTTCCAGGTTCACGGCTCCTCCTAGAGGAGATGGAGAAATGGATGTTTCTTGCCTCCCCTCCCCCCCCTCCATCCTGACAGGTGGCATGGGCATCCCTAGCTCCTGCAAGGCACAGATGAGCCCAGGACACACGTAGGGTGGATGGCGCCATTTCCAGGTAATAGGAGTGATGTTGCCCAAATCACTTCGTTTACAGATCCTGAAGCCGGCTCTACAATATATAAAGAAAAACGGCATCCGCGACTTTATTTACAGCCTGATAGGCGGCACCCCAACACTCACCGCAGAAGAAGAAGTAACAGGGCTATAGAGTCACCCCACCTAGAACCCGGATTCCAGATTATTCCAGAGAGAGACATTCCCTGATAGTCTCTTCTATCTCTCTGTGGCTCTATTGGTGAGATCTCTGAGATAGATAGATAATAGATAGATTATAGATAGATAGATAGATAGATAGATAATAGATAATAGATAATAGATAGATAGATAATAGATAATAGATAGATAGATAGATAGATAGATAGATAGATAGATAGATAGATAGATAGATAATAGATAGATAGATAAATAATAGATAGATAGATAAATAATAGATAGATAGATAAATAATAGATAGATAGATAGATAGATTATAGATTTATAGATAGATAGATTATAGATAGATTATAGATAGATTATAGATAGATAATAGATAGATTATAGATAGATAGATAGATAGATAGATAGATAGATAGATAATAGATAGATAGATAGATTGATAGATGGAATGATAGATAGATGGAATGATTGATTGATTAGATAGATAGATAGATAGATAGATGGAATGATTGATAGAGAGATAGATGGAATGATTGATAGATGGAATGATTGATTGATTTAGATAGATAGATAGATAGATAGATAGATAGATAGATAGATAGATAGATGGAATGATTGATAGAGAGATAGATGGAATGATTGATTAGATAGACTGCAGAAGTAACAGGATTATAGAGTCACCCCACCTAGAACTGGGATTCAAGATAATTCCACAGAGAGACATTCCCTGATAGTCTATTCTATCTCTCTGGGGCTCTATTGGTGAGATCTCTGAGATATAGATAGATAGATAATAGATAGATAGATAGATAGATAGATAGATAATAGATAGATAATAGATAGATAGATAATAGATAGATAGATAGATAGATAGATAGATAGATAGATAGATAGATAGATAGATAGATAGATGATAGATAGATAGATAGATAGATAGATTATAGATAGATTAAATAGAATGATTGATAGATGGAATGATTGATTAGATAGATAAGACGATTGATAGATGGAATGATTGATTGATTAGATAGATAGAATGATTAATACCTAGATAGATAGATTGATAGATGATAGATAGATAATTCTATAGATAGATCAGATGATTGATAGATAATTATATAGATAGATAGATCAGATGATTGATAGATGGATTATAGATGGATGTCATGTGGAGTTTGCTATCTCTCTCAGCATTTTGCGGGTCTGACAGCTGGTTATTCCGCCCTTCTCTTGCATAGTCAGTTGACTTAGTCGCCAGCCGCAGTGGAATGGCCGCAGGACATGCGGTGACACCGGAGTCAACTTTCTTTTTTTTTTTTTTTTTCTTCTCATGACAAAGGTGGTAGGAAGTTGTTTCTTGGCTTCAGAATTGACAAGTAGACGCTGGAGGCAAGGAAGGAACAAACTTCGCGGGACAAGTCTTTACCAGCCACTTAATGATGCTCTTGACAGCTGGGGCTTGACGGCAGGTCGGACTGCTATGTGCGGGATTGAGAACCTGTCTGTCTTACTTAGGAGAGGAGGGAGCCTTGTGCAGGCGAGTCAGAGCAGAAGGGGTGAGCTGCTAAATTCTTCACCTGCAAATAACCCCAGTCAGCCGGGTGTCATCATCTCTACCTGTCAGACCTCACCGCTCTCAGAGCTCCCAGAATAATCTGCAGAATGATCTCTACGGGGCCTTCCATGGTGGTAGACTGATAGAAAAGGCCAACAGAGAGTACAAATGCCCCAAACTATGCCCTACCAGGGGCGGACTGACAACTCATGGGGCCCCTGGGCAATAGGGGATCATGGGGCCCCTCTGTCCTTGCCCACACTCAAAGCACACCCAAAAAAGCCTATAAAAAAGGTACCAGGGGCATTTCATGGGGCCCCCTACTGACCCCAGGCCCTCGGGCAGTGCTCGAATGGTCAGTCCGCCCCTGGGGTTGAGTCTTTTCTAGCAGCAGATCCTAAATCCCCATAGCAGCAGCTCACCAGCTCCAGTGATATTGCAGCTCACCATCCAGTCACACGCAGCGATTAGTCCACCCTCTACTCTGCACCCAGGTGACTCTGTCTGCACCCCCAAACTCAGCACTCCAGATCCCGCTCAGGTCGGCCATATGTAGCAGTGGTGGTGCACAGTGGACAGCTATGTGTACTCTCTGGTGTCCCGCACGGCAAGAGGAAGTGGTGTCCCGCACGGCAAGAGGAAGTGCTCAAATGGTCAGTCCGCCCCTGTGCCCTACATTCTATTCTGCATAGACAAAGGCCAAAGTGCAACTCGGGCTGCTGGACAGAACTCTCCCAGGACTGCTGGCGCTATATGGTGCCTTCCACTGCGGTAGATTTATAGATGTAGGTACCCTATCCTGCAGGAGCCGCTGGGTAATTTGGGTTCTCTGCACCTCAACTCCAAGAACACCCTCAGCCCCTATGACACAAAGCTCTTGTACCTTCAACTCGTCTGTGCATTGGCACCAGGAAATAGACACAAGACTGTTTAGTGGTAAATGGACTCAATCTATGGGTACGGGTTGGAGTAAGTGGTGGTTTGAGCCTAAATGAGCACACAGATGGTAGGTCCAGAAACAGTCCACTAGACAGTATAATCGCTATGCCGAGGTAACTTAGAATAGAGTTCTGTACCACTAGACTGGGACTGACTCATGAATCAGCAAAGTCAGCAATAAACAGAGCAAATACGCATTAACTGCAATGTGAGTAATGAGACTACAACTCCTCCAGAGTGCACTCCAGGAGGATGGCTAGGACATGGTGCAATGTCCCCTGAGAGATACCTCTTACCATAAGCCATAGGTGAGGGTCCCTGTGTAGCAGCTGTGAAGGGAGAGTCTTTAGTCCTAACCCTTCAGCCGGCTAGCGTTGGGCCCAATTGTACCATTGGTGTACATGAGAATAGTCCCAGTCAAGCTTGCAGGCCGCAATATGGCTACTAGATGGCTGTATGGTCATTTCCTAAAGGCTTGAGCAGGGGCAGACTGACAACTCATGGGGCCCTGGCCAATAGGGGATCATGGGGTCCCTGTGTCCTTGCCCACACTCAAAGCACACCCAAAAAAGCCTATAAAAAAGGTACTAGTGGCATTTCATGGGTCCCCCTACTGACCCCCGGGTCCTCAGGCAGTGCTTGAATGGTCAGTCTGCCCCTGGGGGTGAGTCTTTCCAGCAGCAGATCCTAAATCCCCATAGCAGCAGCTCATCAGCTCCAGTGATATTGCAGCTCAGTATCCGGTCACACGCAGCGATTAGTCCACCCTCTGCTCTGCACCCAGGTCACTCTGTCGGCACCCCCAAACTCAGCACTCCAGATCCCGCTCAGGTCAGCGATATGTAGCAGCGGTGGTGCACAATGAACAGCTATGTGTACTCTCTGGTGTCCTGCATGGCAAGAGGAAGTGGTGTCCCGTACAGCATGAGAAAATGCAACTCTTTCCCCTCCTCCTGGCAATCTCCATCTGGGAAATGTAGTTTAAAAATGTTTGATTACAGTAGAGCTGCTGGACTACAGGTCCCACAGTGCAGTGCTGCCTGGCTCAGTCTGTTGAACTCTTCCTGCTCAGCAGCTCCCTCCTCTGGCTGATATAGCCATTAACTAGTTCAGCACCGCAGGTCTGCAGCTACAGAGTGCAGCTGCAGCCAGTGTTTTTCTCACTCTCCATTCTTAGCCAAGCACCTGACTACATAGAAAAGGCCAAAAAAGAAAGTGTAAATGTGAAGGTACATGCCAAAAATTATAGGTGAATTCCTCAGGGTAGCCCAGACTACTAGACAAAACTCTCCCAGAATTGCTGGCACCATATGGGACCTTCCATGGCGGTAGATTTATGGAAAAGACCAAAGTACTTTCCGAAAATGTTCTTCTGCATAGGTAAGGGCCGAAGGGCAGCTTAGGCTGCTGTGACCCCATTAGTGGGGCCACAGCACCGGCTGATTTTTGAGCGACCATCAAATTTGAATGATCGGGCGTGTTAGAATTTTTTTTGAAAAACGAACGAACTTCTAATCAATGATGGGAGAATTGTGTGAGAAATGGAATTGATGTGAGCCGTGACCTGGAAAATTCTTAGCCACGAAAATTCTTTTCTGTAGCAACATGAGGTGAAATTAACTACTTCCCGTCCGGCCGCTGTATATAAATAGCCGGAGGGTGGCAGTCCAGGGGCGGGTTGCCGTTCATAAATGGCGCCCGCCATTTTGGATTGTGTGCGCTCCCTGGGAGTGCCTGCAGCACCATGATCCAGTGCCCGCTGTGTCCTCCAAACACCGATTGCTGTACGGGACTTCTGTGTGAGGTCCCGATCATGTGATCACTGATTGGCCAATCAGTGATCACATGCAGAGTAGTAAGCAAGATGTCACTTCTGACATCATTGCTCACTACGTGTGAAATCTGTGAATGATCACAGAGATCACATGGTACAGGGCTATTCACAACAGCCTTGTACCATGTGACAAGCTGTGACCAATCACAGCTCTCACAGTATTTCTCAATGGCTGCAAGAATGCAGCCAGAGAGAAGGAGAAATGATTCCTATTACAGCCTTTATGTGTGTAAAAGCAATCGGTGTAAAAAAACAAAAATCGTCATCATCCCCCCACAAGCAGTACAGTGTCACTATGGCGACACTGCACTGCTAGGGTGACAGCATGCAAAAAAAAAAACAAAAAAACATAAATAGAAATATAAAAAAAAATAAAAGTGTAAAAAATTTTTTTGAAAAATTATAATTTTTGGTTATAAACTAATTTGGGTTTTTTTTTTACTAAAAAGATAACGGAATAAATTTTGGCCAAGATTTATAGAGAAAGATTATTTATTTGCAAAATTTTAGAAGAAAAACATTTTTTTCAAAATGTTTGGACTTTTTAATTTATATAGCAAAATCCCAGCGGTGAATAAATACCACCAAAATAAAGTTTTATCTGTCTCAAAAAAAAAATGCTAAAAAATTCCTATGGGTACAGTGTTGCATGACCGCGCAATTGTCATTCAAAGTGTGATAGCGCTGAAAGCTGAAAATTGGCCTGGACAGGAAGGGGGGGGGGGGGGGGGGGAGTGTCCGGACTGGAAGGGGGGGAAAGTGTCCGGACTGGAAGGGGGGGAAAGTGTCCGGACTGGAAGGGGGGGAAAGTGTCCGGACTGGAAGGGGGAGGGAAGTGTCCGGACTGGAAGGGGGGGGAAGTGTCCGGACTGGAAGGGGGTGAAAGCGTCTGGACTGGAAGGGGGGGGGGGAAGTGTCCGGACTGGAAGGGGGGTGAAAGCGTCCGGACTGGACGGGGGGGGGGAGTGTCCGGACTGGAAGGGGGGGGGTGAAAGTGTCCGGACTGGACGGGGGTGAAAGTGTCCGGACTGGACGGGGGTGAAAGTGTCCGGACTGGACAGGGGGGGGGGGGAAGTTTCTGGACTGGAAGGGGGGGGAGTGTCCGGACTGGAAGGGGGGGGGGGAGTTTCTGGACTGGAAGGGGGTGAAAGTGTCCGGACTGGAAGGGGGTGAAAGCGTCCGGACTGGAAGGGGGGGAAAGTGTCCGGACTGGAAGGGGGTGAAAGTGTCCGGACTGGAAGGGGGGGGGGGGGGGGGGGGGAGTGTCCAGACTGGAAGGGGGGGGGGGGAAGTGTCCGGACTGGAAGGGGGGGTGAAAGCGTCCGGACTGGAAGGGGGGGTGAAAGCGTCCGGACTGGAAGGGGGGGTGAAAGCGTCCGGACTGGAAGGGGGGGTGAAAGCGTCCGGACTGGACTGGAAGGGGGTGAAAGTGTCCGGACTGGACGGGGGTGAAAGTGTCCGGACTGGACGGGGGGAAAGTGTCCGGACTGGGGGGGGGGGGAAGTTTCTGGACTGGAAGGGGGGGGGGGAGTGTCCGGACTGGGGGGGGGGGGGGGGGGGAGTTTCTGGACTGGAAGGGGGTGAAAGTGTCCGGACTGGAAGGGGGGGAAAGCGTCCGGACTGGAAGGGGGGGAAAGTGTCCGGACTGGAAGGGGGGGGGAAAGCGTCCGGACTGGAAGGGGGGGAAAGAGTCCAGACTGGAAGGGGGGGAAAGTGTCCGGACTGGAAGGGGGGGGGGAAAGCGTCTGGACATGAAGTGGTTAAAGGCTTGTTTCTTCGAATTCCTAAATCAATGGTGACGCCGTCGGGTTACAAAATGCACGAAATCTCCGATTTTCTAAAGAAAATTTGTTCTGGATCTGACCCGTGTATGGCCGCTTTAGTTCTGATTTAGGGCCCATTCACAACAGCAGACATGCGTTACAGGTGCGCATTAGGCGTAGCCCTTGTTGTGTGCTGCGCACGCCTGCTGTGGTGCAACATTTGCAGTGTTTTTTTTTTTTAAAAAACTTTATTAAACCTGACAATTCATTCAGCTCTATGCATGGCTGCCTGTTGCGATACGCCATCAAAACGCAGCGCGCTGAGTAAAGGTGTAACATTACCTACTATTTTTTTTTTTTTGCAGAGGGATGGTGTCATGTGAAGAAATAGGACATACGGCAACTTGCTTTGTCTTTGTGTTGGAGAACTCTGCCCAGCATAGGGGCTCATAGGAACAAGCTCTTGGGGGGGGAAGGGGTTCTGTAGTCCGGGAGAAAGAAGTGGGCAGGGCTGACTACGGTGCAGTGCAGCAGAGGTGGCGTTGTCAGCTCTCTACCTTCATCGAGGGATTTTTTTTTTCTTTTCTTACGAAGTTACAGATTTGACAAGAATGAAATGACAGCTGACGTGACATTCGATGAGTTTTTTCGTTTTTGGAGCGATCTCAAGTTTACGGCTCCCCATCATTAGGCGTCCAATCCGCACCGTGATGAGTCTGAAGGACAGATATTCTCCAGCTCCTCACCCAGCAATTATGAAAGGCCGACCCCACACCTGACACCGACATTTATTTTTTCACCGCCGAGGATCCAGACCCCTCCGACTTTCATCTGAGCGAGCGCCGGGGACCCTCCTCCGATAAATACAGTTTATCCTCATACATTATTGAAATATCCAGCGGGGACGCGGAGGAAATCTCAGATGAAAGCAGGAAACGTGTTGGGTTCTCGGGGGGGGGGCGGTATTAGATCGGATTCCGCCATAACAGCTCAGCGTGAAGTCTGAATTTTAATAAAAGTTTTGTCTTGAGAGATGGCAGGCCTGAGGAGCGGGGGAGGGGAGGGGGGGGGCTTAATGTCACAGCGCTGATTATATACTCTGCTGGCAGAAGAGAACGCGCTCGCTGTCAGGTGACCAACCCTACTGGACCTCCGAAGACCCAACTCCAGCAAAAACGTATTTCATTTTTATTATTTATTAAGGAAGTAAGGAAGGGTCAGATTCTCATTGCTATTTGTACCCCTAAATTATTGATATCTTGTACTTATATATGTTATACATTATTATAATCATATACCCCACTGTGTACTGCCAAACGTATTGGCCCCGCCCTCCAAATCATGTGATTCAGGTGTTCCAATCCCCTCCCAATCATGTGATTCAGGTGTTCCAATCCCCTCCATATCATGTGATTCAGGTGTTCCAATCCCCTCCATATCATGGGATTCAGGTGTTCCAATCCCCTCCATATCATGTGATTCAGGTGTTCCAATCCCCTCCAATCATGTGATTCAGGTGTTCCAATCCCCTCCATATCATGTGATTCAGGTGTCCCAATCCCCTCCCAATCATGTGATTCAGGTGTTCCAATCCCTTCCCAAATCATGTGATTCAGGTGTTCCAATCCCCTCCCAAATCATGTGATTCAGATGTTCTAATCCCCTCCATATCATGTGCTTCAGGTATTCCAATCCCCTCCATATCATGTGATTCAGGTGTTCCAATCCCCTCCCAATCATGTGATTTCAGGTGTTCCAATCCCCTCCATATCACGTGATTCAGGTGTCCCAATCCCCTCCCAATCATGGGATTCAGGTGTTCCAATCCCTTCCCAAATCATGGGATTCAGATGTTCCAATCCCCTACCATATCGTGTGATTCAGGTGTTCCAATCCCCTCCCAAATCATGTGATTCAGGTGTTCCACTCCCCTACCATATCGTGTGATTCAGGTGTTCCAATCCCCTCCCAAATCATGTGATTCAGATGTTCCAATCCCCTACCATATCGTGTGATTCAGGTGTTCCAATCCCCTCCATATCATGTGATTCAGGTGTTCCAATCCCCTCCAATCATGTGATTCAGGTGTTCCAATCCCCTCCATATCATGTGATTCAGGTGTCCCAATCCCCTCCCAATCATGTGATTCAGGTGTTCCAATCCCTTCCCAAATCATGTGATTCAGGTGTTCCAATCCCCTCCCAAATCATGTGATTCAGATGTTCTAATCCCTCCATATCATGTGCTTCAGGTATTCCAATCCCCTCCATATCATGTGATTCAGGTGTTCCAATCCCCTCCCAATCATGTGATTTCAGGTGTTCCAATCCCCTCCATATCACGTGATTCAGGTGTCCCAATCCCCTCCCAATCATGGGATTCAGGTGTTCCAATCCCTTCCAAATCATGGGATTCAGATGTTCCAATCCCCTACCATATCGTGTGATTCAGGTGTTCCAATCCCCTCCCAAATCATGTGATTCAGGTGTTCCACTCCCCTACCATATCGTGTGATTCAGGTGTTCCAATCCCCTCCCAAATCATGTGATTCAGATGTTCCAATCCCCTACCATATCGTGTGATTCAGGTGTTCCAATCCCCTACCATATCGTGTGATTCAGGTGTTCCAATCCCCTACCATATCGTGTGATTCAGGTGTTCCAATCCCCTCCCAAATCATGTGATTCAGATGTTCCAATCCCCTACCATATCATTTGATTCAGGTGTTCCAATCCCCTCCATATCATGTGATTCAGGTGTTCCAATCCTCTCCATATCATGTGATTCAGGTGTTCCAATCCCCTCCATGGACACAGGTGTATACAATCAAGCCCCTAGGCATGCAGACTGCTTCTACAAACATTGGTGAAAGAATGGGTCGCTCTCAGGAGCTCAGTGACTCCAAGTGTGGTCCCGTGATAGGTGGCCACCTGGGCAATAAGTCCATCCGTGACATTTCCTGGCTACTAAATATTCCACGCTCAACTGTTAGTGGGATTATAACAAAGTGGAAGCAACTGGGAACAACAGCCACTCAGCCACCAAGTGGTAGGCCACGTCACATGACAGGGCGGGGTCAGCGCATGCTGAAGCGCACAGTGCGCAGAAGTCGCCAACTGTCTGCAGAGTCAATAGCTAAAGACCTCCAAACTTGGTGTGACCTTCAGATGAGCCCAACAACAGTGTGTAGAGAGCTTCATGGAATGGGTTTCCATGGCCGAGCAGCTGCATCCAAGCCTTCCATCACCAAGTGCAATGCAAAGCATCGGATGACGTGGATTTTCATTCATAAACCGAAAAATTATGTTAACCGAGGTGTTTGAAAACTGAGGTGTATTTTTATATATATATATATTTTTGTTAAGAAAAGTGTTTATCTTGATTTTATCACCCTGGTGCCCAACATGCAGCCCATGGTGTTAACGTTTACTGCCACTGACCACCAATCTTGGGTGGGGGCTAAAATTCACTGCCATGGTGACCTTTGCCCAGGGGGGATGGGAAGGGTTAATTTTCACTGCCATGACCACCAATGTAGGGGGGGGGGGGGGGTGAAATTTCACCACCACGACCAATGATGCAGGGGCTGGTATAGGGGGTTAACTATTACTGGCACTGACCACCAGTGTGGGAGAGGGTGGGAATAAATTTCAGTGTCAAGGCTACCAATGCCCGGAGGGGGGATTTAGAGGATTAGCTAATGCCCCAATGTAAGGGGAGGGGTTTAAATTTCACTACCAGTGACCACCTTTGGGCGGTAGTTAAATTTTATTGCGTGTGTGTGTGTGTGTGTGTGTGTGGTGTGGGGTCGCGACCAGGCCATGATATTTAGGAGGGGGGCCCAAGACAGCAGGAAGGGGGCCTGCTGCAGAACATATGAAAGGGTATCTCTGCGGGACCTCGCAATGCGAGTAAAGGTCAGTAGATCAGTGGGAAGGGCCGCGGGCCCAGATGGAAGGGTCCCCAGCTTGGGGGGTAGGACCCTGGGACCAATGGAAAGGGCCCTTGGACTAGTGGGAAGGTACCTGAGAGCAGTGGCATGAGTCCTGGGACCAATGGAAAGGGCCCTTGGATTAGTGGGAAGGTACCTGTGACCAGTGGCATGAGTCCTGGGACCAATGGAAAGGGCCCTTGGACTACTGGAACGGTACCTGAGACCAGTGGCATTGGCCTTGGGACCAATGGAAAGGGCCCTTGGACCCTGGGCCCAGAGGAAAGGGTCCCCGGCTTGAAGCATAGGACCCTGGGACCAGAGGAAAGGGTCCCCCGGCTTGAATGATAGGACCCTGGGACCAATGGAAAGGGCCCTTGGACTAGAGAGAAGGTACCTGGGCCCAATGGGAAGGGCACTTGGACCCTGGGCTTGAGTCAGAGGGGCCCTTCATGATTTCTTGCATCGGGGCCCCAAAGGCTCTAGTTACACCTCTGGCTAGAGTCATTGCACCCCAACTTCTTCAGTGTGCACTGCAATATGCTGCAAATCCAAAAAATGCAGCAGGCTCAGAATTTTTGGGCGTTGAGATGTGAAATCACTCTGCCATTTTGTGGCCCTCTGGAGGTATCAGGGGACGCACTTGAGGCCCTCTATAATTTTCCAGATCCACCACTGCTTTATCAAGCAAAATATTATTCACTGGGGGGGGGGGGGGGGTGCAGCTTTAAATGGCAAAATCGGCATTCAGGATGTCGGAATTGACTGACAGCAGCCCCATGAGCTTCCCGAGCCCCCCCCCCCCCCCCGGCTCCGCTGCAAGGAGTTAAACGCTGAATTAGTGTCAGTTTGGTGGAACTTTTACAGCCAAACTGCTCCATCAGCACCGTCCTATTAATATGCTAATGCAGAACGCCTTGCGCATACGTAATGATGGGGGATATTCATAACGACTCCGACGGCAGAGAGAAGGAATTTCATGTTAACTCGTCTGGCTTTAAACTGTCGCTGAACCCGGCCAGAGACCTCCGAGCCCAAAACCTGAGTCCCCCCACAAACATCACACATTTCATGGAATGAGGAAGGCCCGCAGCCCGACTGATCCCATTTCGGGGTGAGATTTCGGGGCGACTTTGATCCCTTCTTCGGGTTTTACACATTTCTGAAAATGGTTCTTATATTGATACAAAGTAACGAGGAGGTGAAACTAAATATAACTGTTTAATAAAACCTTTTCTTGGCTTTTAGTTGTAACGGATTGTGGAGGTCAGGAGTGTTATTGGGGTCACTGACCAGAGAGGAGTCCTGGAGATCTTCATCTCAAATGAAGTTCTTTTGAAATGTCCATATAGCTGAGAAACAATGAAATACAAGGACTTTCCTTGGCCACTAATGGTTATAGGAAATAATGGAGGTTAGGAGTGTTATTGGACCAATTGACCAGAAGACCTTCGATCAACGGCTTGGGAAGACCCAAACTTCAGTGTCAGAGGTCAGAAATTCAATTAGAATAATAGTAATATAAAATACAGGACCATACTTGGACCATAGACTACAGCTTTCCTCAATCTTCGAACCCCAGAGGAACCCTTGAAATAACGTTTAGGTCTCAGGGAACTGGTGCTAAGGTTAGTCGTTCAGGATCATTGGGAAGAATGTCCCTTACATTGGGGGTCAGTGGGAAGAATGTCCCTTACATTGGGGGTCAGTGGGAAGAATGTCCCTTAGGAGGAGGACACACTGAAGGAGCTCTCCCTGAGAACCAGCGTTTTCAAGCCTGGGCCTTGCCTGCTAGCTTGGCCCAGGAACCATGCCTGATCCAGGGGGAGGCCCTGGGAGGGATTCCCCTGATGAGACCGGGCCTAGTGAAGAGGAGGAGGTGGAGGACCTGACTGTGGGTCCCAGCCCTGGTGAGGATGTCAATGTCTTCAGGCAGAAGATTACTGATAGATTGGTGACTATTGGAAGAGCTGAGGAGAAACTTAATGTTTTAAAATCTGAACACAAATCCTTCAGAGCCAAATACTGCCAGGCCTGGAGCAAGAACAGATTGGGCATGAAGCCAGCGCTCCAGCACATGGAGGAGAAAGTAAAGAGACAATCTTTATTATTAGAAAAGTTGAAAGCAAGAAGTGGAGCATTTAAAGAAAAGTTTGATAATGAGAGGAGATTTGCCAGCCAGACATCAGTGAGCTCTGTGGATCAGCAGCCTCAGGTAATGGATGACCCGGCTCCATCTACATCAGCGTCTCTCCCCCCATGTCAGGCTGTGGAATCACCAGTGGCAACCAGCCAGGGGGTTGAGGGTGAGTATGGAACCTTGAGGTTCATCCAGCACATGGAGTCACCCCTGAGAGCAGACAAGTTTGCCTTCACTGATGACCCTGCAGAAGTCCCTGAGGATGGACAGAGGAGGTACAGAGCAGCAAAGCCAAGACTGGTGGAGAGATCCCAGTATACACCAAGATGGCTGCTTCCAGCATGTCTGCCCCACCTGCTGCGGTGAGTACTGTGGATGAGGAGCTCTGCAAGCAGCCTGCTGTGGAGGAATCCTCATCCAACCTGGAGGAAAAATCCCTGGCAGAGAGGTCTCCAGACCATCAGGGGAATGTGGATGAACCTGCACCAAGCACCCCACAGATGGAAAATTGCTGCTGCTGTTCCTGCTGAGACCAGTAGTCCCTCTACAGGCAAGATGGCTGCCACCTGCAGAGAGACTGTTTCACCTGAGCTCCCAGGTGCTCCAGACCTGATTGATGCTGGTGGGGGAGGGGAGCAGCACACTGCACAACATGGAGAGCAAACAGCACACATGGATGTCTCACTTGTTGCTGTGTCTGAGAAATCCAATCCAGTCCTGGGCTGAGTGTCCTTTCTTGGAGCAAGAGATGACTGATGGAGCTTCTATGGTTGCAGCAGTGAGTGCGGACATTGCTGTGAAGTCTATGACTGTTGAGACTGGTAAAGCAATGGATGTGTTGGTGGTGGGTGGAGGTGAAGGGGTTAACATTGCTGACAGAGGTAAAAATGACATTTCTCCCCCTGCTGAGCAGAGAGAGGATACACCATCCAATCCCGGATCTGTGCAATCGGTATCTGCTAGAGTTGCACCAGATGCTCCCAGACACACAAATGTTTCTGCTGCTGGGAGGATTGGGGGGAGCTATGCCTCTGTTTTGGGGAGTCGCACCAAGGGGGGGGGGGGGTAGTGTTGGGAATGCTAATGGTCACAATTTGGGGAGGTTTGGTGGTGGGATGGTTGGTGGGGTCAGGAGAAGGAATGTGGTACAGTTGAAGTGGGAGGGGGAAGGGAACCCACCAGTAAGGGGGAGGGTGGCGGAGTTGATTCTAGAGATGGGGGGTTTAAAGCCTGTGATGTGTTTGCGTTGATCTGCCCAGTAGGCAGCTATGAATACGATTTGTCATTTGTAAAACCTGAAGGCCTGGACCTGTTTTGGGAGAGATATTGGAGGTGCAGGAGCCTTCAGCAGTGGAAAGGTTTGGTGGCAAAGGTTGTTTCCAGACAGCCTTTGATAAAATCGGTGACAATCCTGGTCCGGAATGAATCCATACCAGAGGCTGATTTAGTAGTTTGGCTACGCCGACATGGTGA